ATTTTACCCAGTTCAAGGACAAAATCATCTTAGAGTGTGCTCTGGGATCAGCTGTAGGCTTTTGGGCTGTACTTGGGTACATAGGCCTTCTGGCCATCTTATGTTTTATTCTGGCTTTTCTTGCACGGAAACTGCCTGATAACTTCAATGAGGCCAAACTGATCACCTTCAGCATGCTGATATTCTGTGCAGTCTGGATCACTTTTATTCCAGCATATGTCAGCTCTCCTGGGAAGTTCAGTGTAGCTGTAGAGATATTTGCTATTCTGGCCTCCAGTTTTGGACTGCTCATTTGTACTTTTATTCCAAAATGTTATATTATCTTACTTAAACCAGAGAAAAATACAAAAAAGAGCATGATGGGGAAATAATTCTGAAAACTTTGAAAATACAGAAACTAGACATTTTGGTGACATTATAATGTTTCCATAATCATTTTTGTCAGTTGGACACATCATTTGAAGATATGTAATATATCATTGTAACACTTTCCACTGTAGGTTATTTTATTTCATTTGTGAAACAGCAAATGGAGACAAAATAATTTAATGCAATGTAATATACAGGAAAAATAAATGCACAAGTTTAATCCCTAAATGTTTTTAGTTTCTTCTGGTCAAAAATTCCATAATTCTGAAAATGTAAAACAAAAGAAAACAGAACAACAACAGCAACAAAAGGTTTGTGTGTTTAGTTGTAATGTTTTTGCTCTGTATCTGAGATATATTTGATTGTATCTTTCACTACACTAGATTTAATTTCAATTTCCTTTGATGACCTTGATCTGGAAGTGGCAGTTCTGCAGAAACATGGCCTATCTCATGATCTGTTCGTTGCTACAGTATATTATGTCTGATGCAGCCAAAGGCTGATGGTCTGTCTGCATGGTGAATTCAGTTCCGTACAAATACAGCCTGAACCTTCTGATTGCCCACATGATGGCTAGGCATTATTTTTCTATGGCAGAATAGCATTTCCCTCATTCTGCTGTAGGTCTCTACGAACCCCCAGTGCAACTGGATGAGTTAGTGTCTCAGCCTCTGTTTTCAGTTCAGCATTTTCTTGAACCATAGCAACTCGGGGCCTCCGTTCCACCATGTTGCGGACCCCGGAATGCATGACACTGGTTACGTATGCTGCAGCCCGCTTTGTGGTTTCATGGCGGTGGGCTATATCATAGGCTTGGGCTAGTGTGTGAGGCTGTTGCTCTAACAGTTTTTGCACAATCTCTGCATCACTCACAGCATTGGTGAATATTTCAACACTTGTAGAATCTTGCTCAGTCTCAGTTCTGTCACTGTAGGCTGCAGACACCTTTTCACATGTCATCTCTTAAAACAAGAAGGGCCTCACCAGGTTTACGGACACACTGTCTTAGTTCAATAGCTACGGCAACAGCATGTTCTGAAGAGGGGCTGTAGGTTTGCTCCACCTCCTTCACCAACCAGCTGTAGTCCCACCTGGAGGACTGGGGGTTTCTGGATGATGGCACCTGTTGCACCCACCAGGCAGAATTTCAGCTGGGTGACCATAGTCTTTTCTGACCAGTAATTGGCTTTAGCACAACATTCAAACCTGTGCAGGAACTCCCTCCATGGAGTCGTGCCATCGTATTGACCAGGGCGTAAGATGGGGACCCTCTCCCGGTAGTCACCTTCCTCCTCACTCTCCGACGACAGTTGGCAGGGGGCAGCATGTATGCAACTTAGGCTGCTTACATTCATTGGAAAGGTCCTTTAACAAAACAGTATGACCTTCATTTGGCTCTAAGTATTCATAGTTAGTGTCTTTGACTGGGTTACAATGTGGGGCGTGTAGCCCAGGGCACATGGAGCAAGGGGGAAAACATAGGGCTGGTGTACTGTGGATAAATGCTGGCCGGTGAACAGGGTAAAAGGGGTTGGAATGTGGGTGGCAACATTTATGGATGGTAAAATGGGGTGCAGCATTAACGGAGGATCCCCACCTTGGTAGTGCACACAGCTGCATCCATTGTCACTCTGTGTGTAAGCCCAGTTGTCCCCGGAGCTTTTGCTCTCTCCATTAGCCTCAACAAAGGGGTTTGTGCTTGAAAACTCAGACGGCGTGGGCACAGGATCATCCACACACAAAAACGGATTATAATGTCCATAACCCTTCTTTACTTTATTGTCATTGTCCGTTTTCGTAATCGTTTCACTCTCATTAGCTCCAGTTAGCGTCATGAACGGGTTAGAGTGGCTAGTCACATGTCCGGGCACGTTTTGACGATGATTAGCGGCCGTCATGCTAACATTAGCTTCTTAGCCAGACAAGGGTAATTATGGCACTTTTAGCTGCTTGTCCCGGTTTCTTTCACCGTGTTTTATACTCACCACTGCTGCTCTGCTTTATGTGAACTGTCCCTTCGTGGTCGCCAATGTATCCTTTCCTGCTTTCGGCCTCCAGGACCGTAGTCGAGTGGCGCAGGGGAGGCTTATGTCTGCTCCAGGGCCGAGGCTGCAGTCCGCCTCGGGGTTATCTCCCTTCACCGTGGTCTTTAGCGGCGAGCAAAGAACATTCGGGCAACTTCCTTGGAAACCGGACTTTATATTGTCACTTTTCCTAAATATGAACAATATCGCCCACTCCGGTTGGACTCCCCTGTCTGTCTTTTTACGCTCCGTTCACTCTCCCCAACCTGCTCATACCGACCTCTCATCTACTACCCCCATACATCACATGCTGTCTCTCTCGACCACACCTCCAGCCACACACACACACACACACACACACACACACACCATATGGCTAAAGACTGCCCCACGGGTATTTACATGAATAGCATTTCCGTGTCTAGTAGCTTTCTGTTGGAGTTAACTGACAGGCAACAATCCATCCTCTTGTTTCTGTAGTAGCACTGCCACAAGTCCAATGTTTGAGGCATCAGTCCTAATGGTGAAAGGTAAAGATAGGCTTGAAGGCTTGTGACATATTGGCTTTAATGAAGTCCATCCATGTTTTAGCTGGCTCCATAAAGGTGTCACTCAAATCCCTGAGCCAGTAGACCACTGCCTCAGCTTTTCTCACAGTCATGTGGCTCTGTGCAGTGTCAACAACACACAGCGCTGGGGTGCATCGAATGTCACAATCCAGTTTGCACACAGCATCTCGTCCAAGCAAATTCACAGGAGTTTGATCTGATATCATCACTGACAGTTCAACAGTTTTTCCTTGAAATTGCAGGGGAACGGGGTGTGAAATGGGGATCAGTTGTTTCGTCCCTGAGAATCCGACAATCCATACATATTGTCCAGATCTTGGGAGGTGATTAGCGTCAGAATGACTTACACAGGTGTAAGCAGCACCTGAATCTGCAATCATTTTAATGGTTTTACCAGCCATGACATCTGGCACCAGTGGTTCCTCGTCAGGGCTTGAAACTGAACTCACTTGTGTCTTTGTTGTAAGTGGAAATTCCCCTATTGATTCTCAGGGCATCCCTAATACCCAGGGGGCCCATGTCCCAGGTTCACCGGCCCCCTGGGCCCAGGATTTCCCTGCTGCTCCTGGTCATACCTAACACATGACCACTCTGGGCACCTTGCTTTCACATGGCCGTATCGCCCACATTGGAAGCATCTTATTCGCCCTTTACTTCCTCTTCCTCTGCCCGCAAGAAACCCTCTGGTTCTCTGAGGGTATCCATTCCATCCTTCTGGTTGCAGATAAATTATCTGAGGGGTAGCAGGAGCGACGGCTGGAGGTGGGGGAAGTCTTGCTGGCTCCACCGGAGCCACAATAGCTTGCACCTTTGTCTTTCCTTCTGCCAGCTTCTGGTGAGTCAATTTTCTCACTGCTTCCTCATCTGCTTGCTTTTGGCGGGATGCATTGGCACGTGCTTTTGTCACAGCACCCACCACATAGTCCAAAAACTGTTCAAATGGCATATTATACAGTCCCACAGCATCACTCAACTTAATCTGAGCAGCCTGTGGCAATCCACTGACAATTCCTTTCCTGAGAGCCTGCCGGGGTCAAGGGAGCGATACTCTCTCAAATCAAAAAAATTGAAGCCCTCTCCTTCTCCAGCCTTTGCCCCGTTGTCCATCTCACCACACTGCTGGCCCTCCTCTTTTTCAGCATCTGTCAATATTTTCACAATCTGGTTGTGCAAACCACTTAAACGCTTGTGAGCCTCCCCATGTGGGAGATTCAGTCCTCACCAGTAGGCCTCTGGCAGATCTTCTAGCCCATCCTGCAGGTCCTCCTTCTCCTGCCATCCAAAACTGGCCAACTTTTCCAGCTCTTCCACTGGGTAAACTGACTTCTTCTCAGATTTCATCACATAGTCACCCCTGAACCTCAGCTGTCGCACGGGCATCTGGGCAGCATACAGCGGTGGCTGATCTGTTCTCCGAACCAGCTTCTTTTTCTGTTCAAGCTGTTCTTTGACGTATTTGACTATCTTCTCTCACAGCAGTTTTGTATGATTGATAAACTGGATGACAGCGAGTTCTCTTTCGTGTTTACGCACACGCTTGGCAGACTTATCTTTGGCTTTATGATTCTTTATGACAACCTCCAATTCGCGACATTGACTGAGATCGAATGTTCCGTCTTGTGGCCATGCTTTTGTAGTTCTCCTAGTGAGTTTTATTTGTGGTATTTATTGCTCTCACACTCAGAACAGCCTCTGCCAGCTCTGCTTTCAAGATGATCCTGAACATTTGCCAACAGAGAGGGGAGTTGTCCAGCATGATGGAGAAGCAGGGAAACACTCTTGCCCACACATTAAGAGGGAACTTGATGTGTGTGGCAACAATGGATTAGGCTTTCGTTGTGGTAATACATCATCATTAAAGTCATTTTGCTGTAGCAGTTTCTGAAAGGTGACTCTCCGATGAATGTGAAAATGCAAACAGCTGCAACCACAAAAACAAATTTAATTACTTCAAGCAGCTCCTTCAAAGCTGCTATTTAGAGATGCTGTTCTAGCTTTCCCAATCCTACTTGTGTGCATGTATTTTAACTATGAATGTGCATATAAGTCTAAATGGACAAATACATGTGCCAATTAACAAAAATGAATAAAATAGACTTTTATTGTAACCCACAGCTGCTTTAACTTGCTTTTTTTCCCCTTTCAATCTTGTTTGAGCTGCTCTCTCCTGTCTGTGCTTCTTTGCACGTCACACATGTGGCTCACACAGAACCACTGAAGGGCGAGGGAGGCGGACTTATCTTTTGGGAGGCGGAGCTGCAGCTCAGCTGCTACTTCCGGTCTCCTGAAGAACAGGCTACTGAGTA